ACCTGTAGGGGAGGGCTGTTAGGGTGACCAGGCTGGCAGGGGAGGGCAGTTGGGGGCAACTAGGCCATCAGGGGAGCAGTTAGGCGTCAATCAGGCTGGCAGGGGAATGGTTAGGGGATGATCAGGCTGGCAGGCAGAAGCAGTTAGGGGCAACCAGGCAGGCAGGGGGGTGAGCAGTTGGGAGCCAGCAGTCCTGGATTGTGAGAGGGATGTCTGACTGCCTGTGGGATCGGGCCTAAACCAGCAGACGCACATTGCCTGAGGAGTCCCAGATTGGAGAGGGTGCAGGCTGGGCTGATGGACACCCTCCCCCCCCAGTGCACAAATTTCGTGCACTGGGCTTCTAGAAATGTATAATGTTGCATACATTATATCAAGTTGATCCTGAAAAGTTCCAAATTTTAGGTTGTTTCCCTCTGGTATGAATACTAATCCCTTTTCACATGATAAAGGGAATTTTATTCTTCCTGTGCTTTTATAAGATATGATTCAGTGTTTTCAATGATTCCTAAGAAACTCTCTTCCCTGGTTTATTAAGAGAAAAACAAGTCCCAGATATTAAATTCATTCCCTTGATAAATGTAATCCCATCATAAATCATAACAATAAATGAAAAGCTGGATTCTCCTCTAGGAACAAATATTCACTTGAGACTATTGTGTTAATACTGTTGACATTTGGGTTTGTACATTTGACTGTTATGCTAATGAAAAATATCTGTTAACTGGGAAAAAATAATAAAGGCTAACATTTACTGACCACTCTACAAAGTATTTCACCTTCTGTATCTCATTTAAGTATCATATCAGTCTTGTAAAGAAGATACTGTTGTTGTCTCTCTTTTAAAGATGATAAAACTAAGACTCAGAGGAATTGATTAACATTAAACATGTAATTAAGTGACAGGGCAGAAATTAGAACCCAGGTTAATTGGATTACAAGATTCATCCTTCTAACCATTCCTCTTTACTGACATGAAGGATTGGTTTGAGTTCTCAATTAATCATTTATTGAAAGCATATTGTTTTTTTTTAGCACAACCCAGCTTGTGGGGAATAAAAAATTATAAGCCTTTACATTCTAGGACAGGGATTTCAAGATAATCAAGGGGAGTGTTTCCTAAATCTTAATTATTCATTAACTAGAGGCCCAGTGCATGAATCCATTACACTCCTTGTAGTGGCCTTTTCGAAATACTTTTTTATCCAAGGAAAATACTTAAAAGTTTTAGTTTCAATATCTCGCTTGAAAATTTTAAGTTTACTTCCAAAAGATTTGATGTATCCAAACATAACGTCAATACTTTTGCCAAAACCTTGTAATTTTAAGTTCAGTTCATTCATATGAACAGAGAGATCTGTAAAAAACATCAAATTGCTGACCCACTTATGATCATTGATCTGAGGAAAGTTTGCCAGATCCTTATTCTCAATAAATACCGTAATTTCTTCAAAGTACTCCACAAATCGCTCAAGCACTTTACCTTGACTCAGCCATCTTACATTATTGATCATCAGTAGTCCCCTATAGGTTGAATCAACTTCCTGTAAAAGTGCAGAAAATTCTCACTTGTGAAGGGGTCGAGAAGCTATAAAATTCACAATTTCTGTTACAACTGACATTAAATCATTCAATTCTGAGAATCCCGATTTGGCACACAAGACCTCCTGATGGATAATGCAATGAAAAGGTACAAGTGGATGTCTAATAGCTTCCATAAACAATTTCAGGAATCCCACATTTTTTCACACCATATTTGATGCCCCATCTGTCGTGACTGACACAATTTTAGAGATATCAATGTTTAGGTCACTGAACGTATTTAT